ACCTCTTAACTTCTGGTCTTCATACGTTCACAGAACATGTCCTTATGTTCAGAGAATGGCACAGAAACTGCATTTCCATGTAAATATGCATCTAAATGACACTAAAAAGACCTAAGCAACTAATAATTTCTATGCATAACTCCATATCATGTATGTAACCTACATGGGACTTATCAGGTCTTAGTCATGCTTTTTAGTTATATGCTTTTTAGCCATGTGGCTTTTTAGTTATATGCTTTTTAGCCATGTGGCTTTTTAGTTATATGCTTTTTAGCCATGTGGCTTTTTAGTTATATGCTTTTTAGCCATGTGGCTTTTTAGTTATATGCTTTTTAGCCATGCAGCTTTTAGCTTTTCGCTTTTAGTCATGCTTTTCAGTCATCACTTCTTAGCGCTTTTTGAGCGTGCTCTGGCTTACACGCCATCTCCTCCAAAACCATGAGGAGAAACGCCACCTGGTCTCGTCAAACTTTACTTCTATTTCTTTACTTTAGTTTATTTTATTTTCCGTTGAGAGTTTCGTGTGTTCCGAGTTAAGTTTGCCTAAGGCCGCATCTCCGAAAGAGTGCCGTCTAAAACTTCAACTGCAGACCACAGTTCCGCGTCTCCAGCCAACGACCAATCACTGGCTACCCAAGACTGAACCTCCAGCCAATCAGAAAAGCGGGAAACCCCTTTCGGCAACCAGACAAGGAAGGGAACCCCGCACACAGGAACGCAAGTTCCTCCAGATCCTAGCTGAACTGGTGCATTTAATATAAATTTTAACATATAATAGAACGTAAATTGTTTATTTTTTAAAACAAAGTGCTTATTCTTTAACAAAATGTCAATCTTCATCTTTATGGCAGAAGATAAAATCCTGTACAATACAATCTTGAAGATACAGTACAATCTTCATATTTACAGTAACGGTTTGTCACCTTAAAAATGGTGCTTACGAGCCTTAGCTACAGCAAATGCTCTTTGCTGTATGTCCTCCATATCCAAAGACCTTCGTATGATCTGTTCAATTGAAATTAGTGCCAGCGCTGACAGCCTCTCTTGGTTCACTGTTGACCTGAGGTATGTTTTGTAGGATATCAGACCGAATCAGACAATCTAAGATTTGGTCAAAACATGGTTGAAACATTAGGAGCAAAAAAATTCCACAAGAGGCCCAAGACAACAGGATGTCATAAATCAGACCCTAGCCAGTCTGAAGCAAGCCTAACCAACTCTTTCACAGAACAGCTTTCAACATTAAAACAAAAGAACACTTATTGACAATTCCAAGGAGATTGTCAATTTT